CCTTCGTAGATTAGGCTGGCTTCAGAGATCTGCCTGCCTCAGCTTCCCAAGTGCTGGGATTAATGGTGTGTGCCACCACACCAGCTAAGAACTGGTATCTTTAAAATATCCAACATATATATCCAATTAGATCTCCCATTTCTTTCAACACTTCTGTACTTCCATTGTGAGACTTACCTGTTTTAAATTTAACCCTACTACACTTAATATGTGGACATTGTAAAGGGTCTTTCAAAAAGTTCATCTTAAGAGTTTGCCCTGGAAGAGTGGGAAGAACCTAAGAGCCTGCTCCAGCAGAGATAGACTCACACACACCACCTGAGGTAGTTTGCCCTGGGTGTGTGGAAAGAAGCTAAGGGCCCACCCAGTGCCAAATAGGTTGCCATTATGGTGAGCAAATGTATGGGGGGTATGAGAGGGAGAGAGAGGCGAGAGGTTCATGTCTGTGCAGATGGCCAGATGTGTAGAGGGAAAGGTGGTGAGGAACGGGCTCTGTGGGAGGCCTGCTTCCCATCTAGGGCATGGGCATCCAGCTGGAGGCTACTGTCTGGGTCCATGGCCCTGCCACAGCTCTGCTTTGTGTTGATGTCCATAGCTCCTGTTACCATCAAAGACCATGAGGATGATTGGGGTTTGGGCCACCACATGTGCATATGTTGGTGCCAGAGGACCATGCCACCACAGGGGCCATCCAAATCTGAGTTGCCTGGGCTACTACAGTGCCATGGAGACATCCAGGCTTGAGCTGCGGCCCAAGGCCATGTCTGGGTCCGTGGTGATATTCAAGGCACCTGTTACTGTCAAGGATTGGGTGGTTGTCTGGGATCTGGATCCCTGACTGGGGCCAAGTTGGTGTCCAGGGGCCACCCTGCAGCGGGGATGACATCAATCTGAGTGACCTGCGCTGTCACCTGGGGGCCATGGTAGCATCCAGACCAGGGATGCTGAGGACCATGTCTGGGTCCGTGGTCCTGCCGCAGCGGAGGTCTGTGTTGACATCCATGGCCTGTGTCACCACCAAAGGGTTAGGGCTCTGGACCTCCACCTGTGGCCATGCTGGTGACCAAGGAACATGCTGCGGCTAGGGCTAAGTGTACTGCACTGCCATCCGTGGCCAGGGTGTCGACCAGGTCCGTGATGCTGATGGGGGCCATGTCTGTATCCGTGGCCCTACGGCCGCCAGGGTCTGTGGTTCCTGTTGCCATCAGGGGCACTCTACTGCCACCTGAGACCAACGTTGGAGTACAGAGACCATACTGCTGCTGGGCCCCTACCTATCTGCGAGGCCTGTGCCGCCACCCAGGGCCATGGTTACATCCAGACTCAGGCTGCTGCTGCTGGCCATGGGTCCTGGTCCTGCTGCAGCTGAGGTCTGTGTTGATGCCCATTGCCTGGGTTCACAGGAGCCCATGCAAACCATGTCAACCCTTAAGTTGAAGTACCTTGCTGAGCTGGCCCCTCCCCTCACTGGCCCAGGGAGTGCTATTCCCCCCACCCCCACACACAGGAGAGCTGACCCCTTATCCGAGGACACTGACACAGGAGGGCCGGCCTGCCCCTAATGGGAGAGTGGCCCCCACACTTGGGAGGACGGCTCTGCCCCTCACCTGGTGTGTGAGGGAGCAGGCCCCACCCTTTGCCTGAGGGGAGTGGTCCCAGCAGGCCAGTCAGACCATGTCAGCAGCCACCCAGCTAGCTACACATCTGGGGCTTTAAGCTGGCACACCCCAACATCTTACCCCATCTATGACCTGCTGGGATGCACAAAGGGACTGTGGCTGCATGGTCCATGACTAAGGGCAGCAGCGGAATGTCAAGGGAGTTTCCATGGGGACCCAGTATTGATGGTGTGCCAGAGGCCAGAGTCCTTGAAGCCGACCAACACATTACACATTGAACATTTGCAAAGAATGCTGTTTGGAAAAAAGAGTATACTGCATGATACACAGCAGCTCCCAGTGCCTCCAAGACAAATGAAGAGGCAGTGGAGAGGCAAGGATGGAGGGGCAAAGTGTTCTTGTTGGTTTATTTTTTTTAATAGAAATTTATGTTTGTATTTTTAATTTTATTTTTAAATTATCTTTTCTACTTTTTTATCTTTATTATTTCCTGTTTAGTTTTGCTTTGGAGGGGACACTACAAGGGTGAGAGGCGGATACAGAGGGACTGGGAGATGGGTGGGATTGGGGTGCATGATGTGTTCCCAAAGAATCAATTAAAAACTTAATCTTACAATGATTTATTGCTTGTATATGGAAATTCTTTGTATAATGAATGTGGAACCCTGTAAGTAGCTAAATACACCTTAAGCTAGTATGTTTTGTAGAATTTTTCGGATTTTTATGTACACATTTGTGAATAAAATTTGCTTTCTTTCCAACTGTTCTGCCTTTTCTCACCTGATTGATTGATTGACCACTAAAACAACGTTGAATGCTGTGCCTGGTCATAGCTATTCAGACTCTCCATTCCTTGTAGCAGTTTCGGCAGCTTGTGTCTGTCAGGGACTTTATCCATTCCTCTACCTTCATGGTCAGTTCTTCGTTCCTGTTACGTACTGATGCCCCCTTTCCATTCTCATTACCGAGCTTTGTTCCTCGACCTCCGTCTGGCTAGGGGCCTGGCAGGTCTATTAAGATTTTGAAGGCCGTTTTATTTGTTGCCTATTGCTTCATTGATTTCCAACATTCCCTTCTTTATTCTTGGGGATTAGTCCGGCCCAGCCCTGTAGATACTGAAGACCATGTTTTAATGTTAGTAGTTCTGCACTTGGTTAGCTATGACAGCTTGTCCCAGTGTTCAGTTTTTGCTCTGCTTTTCAGCCTTTCAGAGTTCATTTGATCTCCTGAGTTGGTTTTGGAGCTTTATCAGTTCTTAGTTGCTGTAGAATATGCAACAGTCCACTTTAAATTAGTAACAACTACTGTACACTGTACATACCTTATAACGTGTACTGCCACCTGTCTCCTATTTGTGCTTTAACTCGTTTTAACTCTATCTTAAAGCTTGAATTTTTAGGTTCTGATTTTAAATATTTGCCTCTCAATAATCAGATTTTCAACACTTTTAGGGAACCTTTACCACTCTTTCATTTGTGGAAATACATCTCATTAGGTTCATGCTTCTTCAACGTGAAGAAATTTAAATCCAGTCTAATTTTCGTTTTCAGTCTGAGTCTCTATTCCACAAACAAGTTACCAGAACTTCCTTTTAAAAATTGGATTTAGAAAACCTCATCACTTCTTACTGACTATTCCATCATGGTGGTTTGATGCGATTCTTCCCACCCCATACAAGTTGTGGATATTTGAATCCTTGGTCCCCAGTTGGTGGCTGTTGGTGGGGGGAACTAGGAATTGTGGCTCTGTAGTATGACTTGCGTCACCACTCTCCTTCCTGTTTGTGGACTAAGACGTGCACCCTCAACTGTTGCTCCAGTGCCATCTGCCTGCTGCCATGCTGCCCACCATGATGGTGACGGACTCATCCCTCTGGACTATAACCCCCAAATTCTTGCTTCTCCAAGTTGCCTTGGTCATGATGTTTTAGCACAGCAATAGTAATATAACTAAGACATCCACATTTTAAAATCTTTCTCACATACTGATGTTCTCATGTTTATTCATAGGAAAGTACTACCCATGTGCATCTTAGGGGTTCCAGGGAGATTCACTTGGCTCTGCTGCCTTGTGTATTTATTGTATTATTTGCTTTTACTCCCCACCAGATTACTTTATGAGCATTCTTTGAACAATTTTAAGTATGGTCTATTTTGCACATAAAATAAGGAGTTGCTCACATGCTAGAATAGTCAGGTACTTAGTTCATTAAAAAAGATGAACTATCCAGGAAAGGCGCAAAGCTACACAGAGAAACCCTGTCTCGAAAAACCAAAAAAAAAAAAAAAAAAAAGATGAACTAAAATACTAGTAAGCGAATACTAAAAAGTAAATGGGATTTTGGCAAAGAAATTAATCATTTGTTAAGAGTACAGGGGGACAGTACATCAGAGTTAACGCTTGACTGTGATAATCTACAGGACAGCTAGTACTAAGGGCGTGTGGGAAGTGGAGTTTTATTGGAGGCGTTCATATAGCAGGTTTATTTAAGGACTTACTGAATTTCTCTGGCATCTTATTCTTAAAATGCTTAAGTTCCCACACGCACACACACCCAATTGCTATTGTTTCAGTTTAAAACAGTCTCCAGAGATAGAAGGGAATGCCAACTGGTCTTATTTGCCTCAGAAATTACATGTATAATACTGTCATTTTCAGGTGGCAAAAGACATTACAGAAAAACATCACTCCAACCCAGAGCTTGAACACAGGCAAGGAAGAGGCTGCTGAAGTATAGTCAGATGGATCATCTCAAAAGGTGTGACGCTGCTCTGAAAATAGTTACATCTTAATAAGGAGCTAAAGCAGATTTCACAGTTACAAAACAGTTAATAGTTATCAGGACTGAAAACCTCATCTGAAACAATTGTTAGAAACAAATTAATATAAACAACACTGAAAGTGAGTTATGGTCAGTGAACGGAGCACTCTGCATTACAGTCAGCAGGAAAGCTCTCAGTGGTAGGTAGTCTACTACTTTAAGGAACTGAAAACAAATTCATTCAGTGAGCACATTCTAGATAAAATTATATCCCCCAAAATGGGGGGGGGGGGGGGCGTGACTTTGAAAAACTCAATTTCCAAAGAATTCTGAAGACTTGTTGTTTAGCACTAACACATTTCACACTTTGTATGAAAATTCAATCAAGACTATTAGAGGAACTAAATCTAATAACCAGTGTGAGCTGCTTTGGCATTTCCTGTAATACTGTTACAGATCTCAAGATAATCACTGTGAGAATGGAAAAGGTCACAATCTTATTTTCCACATTAACCTTTAATAATTCTGACAATATCCAAACAGTATTCTAATTTTAGTACTTACCACACCCCCAAATCTTCGTTTCATTAATAGAAATTAACTCAATATTCACACAAGGATAAGTAGTTCCGTCCACAATTTATTGAATTGCAAATCAGATTCATTAGATGTTATGGTGGCTAAACAGAATAAATCTCTGAAAAGTACCTTGGTGGATTCTTGGATGTCAGCATTATTAAAATGTTAAATTACGAGAAAGTAAGGATATCAAATACTTACCTATGTTTCAACAGTAAAAATATTTTTAAAGACCATCATACTTGGTAATAAATTAGGTTTATATAACTGATAATTTCAAAATAAATAAAACCTGAGTTGAAAATGCTTCCTCCTATCCTACCCCAGCATACATACTTTACAGCCCATGTTCATTTAGGCCAGTGGACTTCAAACTGCATTCAATGAATACATAACCCTTGGGGATCTTATGGAAGTGCAGTCAGCCTAAATTCCTAATGAGCTACAGAGGAAGCTGATGCTGCTGGCCCTTGGACATCCCTCAAGCAGTAGGTAACCCAATATGAATTAAGTATGATTGCTGTCTTAATGACTGGCTTTATAAATGCCAAGTTAGAAAAGAGCATTCTAGTTAACTGAAAGCATGATGGATACCAAGTTGGCAGTGTTTGGATTTGTCTGAGTGACACTTTTGATACACTTTAATACAACTTGGGACACCAAGCTTTGCCAACTTTGGAAGAGTGACAGCGGAGGCCCTCCCAGTTCATTCAAGCCAATACACTGCAAGCCACTGTTAAAAATCTTTAATGGGTAAGCGTCCATTTAAATTACTGTAAACCTTCCTTAAGCTACCCCATCTCCTCCTCCTCTTTCAACAAACAAATGCTGCTTTTTCTTCTGTCTTGTAGCCAAACAGCGTGTAACACCCAATGCCCCTCCCTTTAAAAATCGAACAAAATTGTCTCCAACCAAAGGGCCCAAAGCAAAAAGGTTGGCTTCTTTCACACACTCATAGGTGTACGCATCAACCTCCACGGGGTTACCCTTGCATGTTATTGGCTGGCTTGAGTTACGGCCTAGGTAACGCCCCTGTTCCTTCAGAAACGCCAGGTTAGGATGAGAACCTATTAGGACTACAGCTGCAGACAGCTTAAATACTTTCTTCAATCCAGAGACGCTCTGAAGAATGCATTTCATGTCTGACTTAAAGGAAAGCACACGGTGCTCAGGAAAGCTGGTATAATCAGATAAAGGATCTGAGTCTGCAGAGTATGACTGAGTACACATCATATGATAGACTTTGTGATACTCAGGATACAGCTTTTGCGGAAGCTGTTTGAAAATTAAGCTTGGATCAGTTACTCGTCTGCGAAATGCGTGGATCACAGGGATATTGTTGTTGTAAGCACACAGTACTGCATCAGCTGCAGTAAGGCCGGAACCTACAATCAGCACTGGATCCGGTCTGCCACACAATTTTCCTTTGTTTAGAGCAGCTCCAAATTCAGGCATTGAATGAAACACAAAAGGCAACTCTTCCCCTTCAACTTCCAGGTGGGCAGGAGAATCCAACGTTCCGGTTGCAAGAGCTACATTCTCAGCAAACAGGCAAAAGGGAACATGAGAACCTCCTGCTATTCGCTGGTAGCCTCTGATTTCCCAGTTTCTCTTGATAAATTTTGACTTCTGGTTCTGTAAATGCTTTGTTGAAATATCTCTGTCTTGACTACCATTACTATCACCTTGATCTCTGTAGAGTCTTGATACAGAGGTTATATAAGTATTCTCTCGGAAATTCTTCTGAAGACCCATGACATTTACATAGTGTTTGTAGTAGCGAGCTATTTCCTCTGGCATAACACGGTCCCCCTTCAAGTTCCTGTAAGATGAAAAAGGAAAATACCCTATGAGGAGACCATTTTCAGTTTCGGATTACTTTCCTAGCTAGTAAGCTTTTATATCTTAGCTCTTTCAAGACGACGTTAGATAAAAATTACCCTCGTATGTTCTCACATTTTCTCACCCTAGTCAGAATGGCAGTCATTAAGAAAACAGATGCCAGCAGGGATGTGGGTGAAAGGGATTACTGCTGATAAAGGATACACACTAGTTGAGTGACAATGGAAATCTGTATGGAGGGTCCTCAAAAAAAACCAACACATCTTTCATGACATCTGTTATAGCACTCAGGTATTTATTTTCCCAAAGGACTTCAGGTCAGCATATCACAGAGATTATCTTCACATCAGTGCTTATTTCATTACTAGTTACAACCTAAAGCTATGGAACCAACCTAAGTGTCCAGCACAGAAATCAGGTAAAGGAAACAGAACATATAAAAACAATGGCTCCCCGACGCTACCCCGCAGACATAAAAGTCATGCAACAGGAAAATATATGCAATGGAGACACCATATTAAATGAATGAAGCCAATCTCATTTGTGGGTCCTAGATTTTAACAAGGTACATAGATCATTTATGCATGCGTATATGGCAGGAAAACAAGTCAACTGTCTAGGGGATCAAAGGAAGCAAGTGAGAAGGGACATGCTTGATGAGCTTTCAATTAATAAATGGATTAAAATGTAGATATCTGAAAGATCAGCCTATTTTATCTTACTACTGTAATTTAGATGCAACATTAACAAATTACTGTACAGGGGGCTAGACAGATGACTCAGCAACTAACAGTGCCCAAGTTAAGATCCCAGCACAAAGCTGGGCACAGTGGCACACACCTTTAATCTTCTGTGAAATTCAGAATGACAAACACTTCTGAGTAGAAATAAAAGCAAACCCTTTCCCTTTTGCTACTCATTTGAACAACCTAAGAATATGATTATCAAATAAATTCAAACAACTTGACTGATTTTGCAACTTCAAATTTTCAACCTCTACATATTTCCATTTTAAAAAGTCTAAAGTGAATGTTTCAAAATTTTACTTTTTGCTCTGTTTTTTATGTTTTAGTAGTGTTTCACCTGCGTGTATCTATGTGCACCAAATACCAGTCTGGTGCACATGCTTGTCAGGAGAGTATCGGATCCCTTGTAACTGGAATAATGGATGACTGTGAGCCACCGTGTGCTGGGAACTGAACCTGGGTCCTCTTAATCACTGAGCCATCTCTCCAGCCCCCTGAAGATTTAATCTTAATTAAACTCATCATGATCTAGATCTCAAATATTTTAGAATTAAGGAAAATTTCTACAGATTAAACATGGTTGCTACCTAGCAGGAAGTCAGTTACTCAAACTTTACATCTCTATTCTAACAAAGATTAAGTAAATTCCTGCTTTAACTTACTTCCATTAGTAAAATTAGATATTCTGCATTAGCAATTCATATCTAGTTTATACATGTACCTGAAAATGATAGGGCTTTTTACATTTCTCCTTTTGAATTTTATGTTCTTTCCCCCAAAATGAGTAAGACTTGTATTCTTACAAGAAGAAATTTCTCAGTCCTACTTAAAGTATTTATAATTAAATATTTGCCTTCATGTTCAAGTAGCCACATCCCATGTTTTAGTTTATCATTCTCAATGACCAATCATAATACACTACTCTTCACTCTTCAAAAATAAACACCTGATGTGGTGTTCACATTTAATTCCTGAGGACTTAATCCTGGCAGAGGCAGACAGATCTCTGTGAGCTCTACATCAGTCTGGTCTACATAGTGAGTTCCAAGACAACCAAGGCTATGTAGAGCGTCTCTGTCTCAAAAAACCAAACTAAAACAAAACCAAACCACTTTAGGTTAGGTATACACTAAGTATAAACAAATAGATAGATACCCATTAAAAAACTGACACAAGTTTGATAAAATAATGCATAGGTAGCTGCACAGGTAGAAATAATTCATACGTAGAAAGTAACAGAGTGATTTAATATCAAAGATAAATTCTGATTAACAAGGTTACAGGAGGGCCCCTGTAAACAGTTCTTTACGTACACAAAGCATTATAGCATCCTAAGTGGAAACTAGCTCATAATCACTGTTTCACAAAAGAATTTTTATTTAAGAAATGTATTTCTATTTTATCTAATATAGGATTAACAGACACTGCAGAAATTTCTCACAGCCCCCTTTTCTTCACATATCAAAAAATTTTACTATAGTTTGATCTTTACCTTCGTTTGCTAGACATCCAGTCTTTAAATTTAAGTCCAGGTAGCTCCATCCAATTTCCAAAGCTGATTGTCAACATAGAGCCTTCCATATTCTAGTTGGAAAGTACAGTTAAAACAATGCAATGAAGCAATATTAACCTGGTGAAAGCTAACACGTCTTTTTATATACACATTCATATTATATAAAATATGTTCACAAGAGTCCAAAAGAAAGAGTGGTATATAAACACTATGGATTTTGTTTTCAGACACAAACAGTAACAGTCACATGACAGAAAAGCAGGTGCACTTGGAGCTAATCCTAGTAAGTAAATTAACCCATTTTCAGAAATAAAAGCATCTTATGTTTTCCCACTTATAATGCATTTCCTCTGAAACTTCACCCTAATAAGACTTTCATACATTTTCACCACTTGGTGTTACCTTTAGTTATACATTTATGAAACAAATTACAGCACTGGCTTTGGTCTCTGATCAGGATAATTAAGATATGCATGTTAAACAACAAAGCAGCATTTGTTACTTCTTAAACAAAAGAAAAATGTTCACTAATTTCCAAAATTTTGTTTATTCCTCTTGGTAATTTTTATAGATTTTTTTTAAATTAGAAAACCACTTTTCTCTATCAATTATAATTTGAAATCTGGTCTAGGCTGGATATAATATAATCACTTTCTAAAAATAGAAAAATAAGCAGTGGTTGCCTGAGAAACAGATTTGGCACTGGGGTTAGTGTTATCATTAAAGAAGTAAACCTCTCAAGCTTTCTCAACCTACTTCGCTCAAAAGAAAGCAAAAAAGCCAAGGGCCAAGGCACCTACCCACTCACCAGCAAGCCCATTCAGCTCTTATTCTCATAACTTGCCCTGGTTCTACACAGCCCAGCACTGAGAAGAGGCATATTATAATACATTTTATTCAGTCACTTGTATAATTTTTGAGACAGGGTCTCGGGTATCTGGTTTGTTTATTTATTTATGTAATTTTTAAAAGATAACATCTATAATTTTTATATTTATTTATTTTATGTATACAAGTGACCTGTCTTTACGCACACCAGATGAGGGAATCAGATCCCATTACAGATGGTTGTGAGCCACCATATGGTTGCTGGGAATTGAACTCAGAACCTCTGGAAGAGCAGTCAGTGCTCTTAACCATTACGCCATTTCTCCAGCCCCATTTACGTAATTTTTTAACATAAGGTCTCATATTTGCCAATCTGGCCTTTAACTCCCCTATGTAATGTATATACCATGAATGCCTGCTGTCACTGGGATAACAGTGTTCTGAAAGGGGCAAAAGTGACAGAAGTACTGACCAAGAATATGTGAAGTGGTACCTCTTAAAAGATGCAAATGGGTTTTGAGGAGTGTACCGTTAGAAAAGGAGAATATTCCAGGCAAAATATAAACTGATATGACAGCCTAATAATGAAAAAGAACATCAATGTCCGTCAAGGAATTAGAAGAAACTGAACCCTGTGTAAGAAGTGTTGGACTCTGCAAGGCTGGTTCAAGGTTTTACATCTCTAAAAATGGCCAGTCTCTGCACAGCCTCTCAGATGATTTCTAAGCCTTTGGTATCTTCTACTTAATGAGTGTGTATTTGCATACCTGAGCCTTGGGTAATACTCTGCCTCTGTGACCATGTAAGTTTATCCTAACAGTGTGATTTATGGTGATTACTAGTGCATTTGAGACAGCGGTCTGAGTGGCTGAGGTCAGACACTGCTTGCTCTCACACACAAATCTATATAGAGATAGGGGCTTTAGCACAGTTGATAACAATACTTGCCTAGCATACACATAGCTGTGCTCTGTCCCCAGCACCCCATAAACTAGGTATGGTGGGACACACCTGTAATTCCAAGCAGAAGTTCAAAGTCATCTTTGCCTCACTGGGAGTTCAGGGCCAGCCTAGGCTAATGTATCCATCTGTCTATGGATACAAAGCATAAACAAGTTTCCCTGCTTGGCAGCTCTACTTGCAGACTGTCATTCACCATTGCCTGTTGGGAGATTTCAACACATCCTCACCAAAGAGCAAGACTGAAGGGCAAGAGCAGCAGCACAGGACAAAGGGTTAAAGGGTAGGAAACTCGCGTGCTGCTGTGGTGGTCTGAATGAGAACGGCCCCCAACAGGCTCATATATTTGCATGCTTAGTTTGCTTAACAATTTGGAAGGTTTAGGAGGTGTGGCCCGTAGGAGGAGGTATGTCCCTGGGAGTGGGCTCTAAGGTTTCAGAAGCCTATGCTGGACCCAATGTCATGCTCTCTCTGCCTGCTACCTGTGGATACAGATGTAGCTCTAAGCTATTCCTCCAGCACTCCTGAATGCTGCCATGCTCCCCACCATGATGACAATGGACTAAACTTCTGAAACCGTACGCAAGCCCCCAATTAAATGCTTTCTTCTCTAAGAGTTGCCTTGCTCATGTCTCTTCACAGAAATAGAACACTAAGACAATCACGAAATTGGGTTCTAGCCAGGGTTTTACAGGCTCCGGAACTGTGAGAAATGTCTTTTGTTCAAATTAAACCTTTTGTTTACAATATTTTCATTTAAAATCTTGAAAATACATGGAAATAGTGGCTGGGGACATGGCTCAGTGGTTAAGAGCACAGGTTTGTTCTTCCAGAGAACCAGGGTTTGGTTCCTAGCACCCACATGGCAGCTCCTAGCCATCTGTAAGTCCAGTTCCAGGGGAACTGACACCCTTTTCTGGCTTCTGTGGGCACCAGGTGCCCACATACTGCACAGACATACATGCAGACAAAAAATTCATACTCATAAAATAAAATAAATATTTCCTTTTTAAAAAACAGAAAGAAAAATATATGGAAGTAATAAACACTGGTTTTCAAAACACCCTGTGAAATTTTTCTAAGCTCTAAATTAAGGAAATTTAATTTATTATGAAAAATGTACCCTTCATTTTTTTTCTATACAATTTAGAGGGTAGTACACAGACACACTTATTCAAAGACTATCATTAACAAAAATCTGGCTTAACTACCTATAGTTAGTGTATGCTAAAGACTCAAGTTGTAAGCTGGGCATAATGGAGACACCTTTAATTCCAGCAATTGGGAGGCAGAGGCAGGTGGATTTCTAAGTTTGAGGTCAGCCTAGTCTACAGAGTGAGTTCCAGGACATCCAGGGCTATACAGAGAATAGAATAAAAACAAAACAAAACAAACAAAAATCAAGTTGGTTTTATTAAGGCAAAAATATAATAAATACCTCAATATACACCAAAATGTGAAAAACATACTTACATGCCATGCCCCACCAGGCGGGCCTTTACCAAGAACTAAGTGAGGGATATAATGGTGCTGTTCCAATTTCCAGTGCAGAATGGATGGGTAGTCATAGCCAAAGTCAGCATCTGGATGAAGAAGTGTGTCAAAAAGTACTGCCACTGGATTGGATGATCGGCCCTCCAGACCCTCAGACAGGTATTCTAAGTCCTGAATGAAAGAGAAAACAAACAAACAAAAAAACCAAAAATGTGAGCCTAAAAAGTCAAGGCAATTATGTTAATAAAGGACATGCCAACTCAGTAGTTTCCAGAGTTAGAGAACATATATTTTCCTTGAGCTCATTCATACGAGATTCCTTGGCAAAATGAATATAAACAATGTTTAGATTTAAAACAAAGCTTTAAAAAAAAAATCCTTATAAGAGTTGAAGATACCTTTGTCATACAAATGCCAACTAGGATGTAAAAGGTGGCACTTCCCAAACTGATTTCAGCACAGAGAACATATCAATCCTTTCCAGCAGGGCTCCCAGGAATATTCAGTCACGACAGGGCTTTTTCCTCACAAGCACCAGGACCTGAGTCTGGTCACTAGAAGCCACATGGTAAAAGCCAGGTGTGGTGGACCATGCTTATAACCACAGCACTGTGGAGGTGGAGATGGAGGACTTCTCCCACTCACCGGCTAGGCAGCCTGGTCTACTAGGTGAGATTAAGGCCTGAGAGACCTTGCTTCAAAACCCATAGTGGACAGCTTGAGAATTAACACCCACGGCTAACTTGTGGCCTACATGCAGGTACACGCTCATGTTCTCACATAAACCTGCACCACAGTCACATAAAATTTTTTAAAACTCCACTAGGATTTGGAAATTTTTGCTCAAATATTCAATATAATTTAGATATGACATCAGAATATATTTACAAAGCTAAAATAAATAGCATTAATTAGAATGAACGATTTACAACAAAGAAATAATACTTACATAAATAAAGCTAATCTTGTTTCAGCATTAAAATATCTTTTAAAACTGATAGAACAAATAATACCTGATCAACAATGGAGAGATGTCTTGCTTCTTCTAGTTTACTATGTAGGATTGTATTTGGATGTATTGCTTCAGATGATAAATATGGTCTGTAGCCTGATAACATATACGAAAGGCATATTCCTGAAGGTCCATTTCCTATATTTTTTTTTTAAAAAAGGAAAATGATGTAAGTTGATCCTCTTCTGGCTTGGCACTTCCCCTCACCTGTTCTTCCTTCCGTAATCACCTTAAACCTACATTCACAAACTTCTGACCTCTGCCTTCTCTCTCAGTGTCTTTCAGTATCGTGTCTACTTAAGGCTTCAACTCTGTGCTACTGACTTCCAAAAGCAGTTCCCTAGGATGACCTCTTCTTGAAAACTACACGTTTTTATAGGCTATTTCTTTATTACAACTGCTGTGGAATTAGACAATGGGCCAGAGAGACCATTTAGCAGGGAAAGGCGCTTAACACTCCGAGTTAAACCCCTGGAACTCACATGGCGGAAGGAGAACCAATTCTTGGGAGTTGTCCTTGTACCATGGCATATATGCAGGGACACACACACAAATTAAAAAAAATAGACATTCTAAAAAAATCAAATAGCCGGGCGGTGGTGGCGCACGCCTTTAATCCCAGCACTCGGGAGGCAGAGCCAGGCGGATCTCTGTGAGTTCGAGGCCAGCCTGGGCTAATAAGTGAGTCCCAGGAAAGGCGCAAAGCTACACAGAGAAACCCTGTCTCGAAAAACCAAAAAAAAAAAAAAAAAATCAAGAAAATTCACTGGTAATATCCGCAAATGCAAGAAAAGCCATTTGACAAACCCCAGCATGCATCCAGGAGTTAAAAAACATGCAGGAAATTCAAAAGAGGAAAACTTCTTCAACATGACAAAGAACATGTGTTTTAAAATTACAAAAACAAAAAACAGATACTCATCATCATGATGGATGGTATGAAGGAATGAAATAAAAGATACACAGATTGGAGAAGAGGAGGAAAAAAAAAACACTGTTTGAGGGTTGGGGATTTAGCTCAGTGGTAGAGCGCTTGCCTAGCAAGTGCAAGGCCCTGGGTTTGATCCTCAGCTCCAAAAACAAAAAACAAAAAAACACTGTTTGCCAACGACATGATTATCTACATAGAAAATCTCAAGTGTCCTCTCAAGATCCCAGAATAAGCAATTATGGCAAGATTGAAGGATACAAGTCAATACACAAAAGTCAACTACTTCCTCATACCAATGAAAAAAGTGGAATTTGAAAAAAAATACACTATCATTTATATTTATATCAAAAGAGAAACATTTTAGCATAATTTTAACAAAATATGTATAAGAGCTACATAAAGAAAACCACAAAATTCTGACTAAAGAAATAATAATTTTAAAAAGGCCTAAATAGATGAAAAGATATTCCATGTTCACAGAGAGGAAGCCTCAAAATGACTGTATGCTGTTCTTAACCTGATCTACAGACTTAATGCAATTCCAATAAACAACTCAATAAAGGTAAGAATTTTAAATATCTATTCTAAAACTATTTAGAAAGGCAGAAGGTTCAGAATAGCCCCGACAATGCTATCTTGAGACAAGTCTTGTCTGACTTCCTCAAGTTTGAGTACTAGATGGAAAATATAAATAGCAGGAAATTAAATGAATATAATTATCAAAAGTTTTAAAAATCTGAATTACTGAATACCTTAATTTTAATAGTTGTACATCCTATCTGTTAAGATGATACAAAGAATAGGAGTGAAATTATATTTTAGGTCATTATAAATATTACAGTAGAGCACTATAATGTCACTTTCAAATAGCATGAGTTACTAACTTACAGTCGTCATTCAGTTTACAGGTATGTCTACAGGTGTCAAACCAATACCACAGAGCTCTAAGGTTGAAATCCAATAATAAAACATACAGAATGGCCCCCACAGAACTCTAATAATACTGGTCACCATTAACGGCTAATATCAGTAATTCAATGAAAAGCTATTGCATTCCAACATGGACTCTATCATACAAGCCAATCCTTCTCCAAAGACTTGGTAATGGTTATTTTTTTTTTTTTTTTTTTTTTGGTTTTTCGAGACAGGGTTTCTCTGTGTAGCTTTGCGCCTTTCCTGGGACTCACTTGGTAGCCCAGGCTGGCCTCGAACTCACAGAGATCCGCCTGGCTCTGCCTCCCGAGTGCTGGGATTAAAGGCGTGCGCCACCACCGCCCGGCGGTAATGGTTATTTTAACATAGCAAACAACTTAATACTTTATAATTCTGTCCTTTATTATCTGCCTCCATTCACAGAAGCATTTCCTTATACTTTTGTCTTTTGTCCTTTTAAGATATTTATTAATTGCCACATGATAGTTGTACATATCTGTGAGGAAAAGTATGGCATTTTAATGTGTGTATACAATGTATAGTGATCAGATCAAGGTAACATATACATCACTTCAGATACATATTGTTATTTGTGGTAGGAACATCCAAACTGCTACTATTTTAAGATGGGGAGCCTTTTCAGTACAATGTAAGAACCTCAGAATTATAAACGCCGTAAAAGTAGTAACTAGCTTTAAGAAATATAGTAACTTACCAATTATTACCACAGGTAACGTCACTGATGAATCTTCAAGTAAAGAAGTTTCTTCAACTAATGGCATTCCTTTAACTTTCGGCCCCAAATTATCACCAAAATATTGCACTAAAGAATTAAAAATCTCTCCTTCAGTTTCAGAGTCACTATAGTCTCTTTAAAAAACAAAAACAAAAGTAAAAGTATAGTTAATTTAGGTGTTATAAAATCCAATTTTGCTCACATTTTACATAGGCAATAAAATATCTATCAGTTGCACAATGCTTTCCAAAGTATAACATTTAAGTCCATAAATCTGAAGCAGCCATTTATCTCATATGAATATCTTGTAAGCAAGTTCACTCCTGAGTAAGCTTGTTTCCAGGCTAGGGAAATAGCTTAGTTGGTAAAGCGCCTGCCTGCATCAGGACCTGAGTTCAGTCACCAGAAACCAGAGAAAAGGCTGAGCACTTTGTCAGATCCCTGGGGCTCACAGGCCAGCCAGTCCAGGCCAGTCGGCAAGCTCCAGGCCAGTGGATGAGCCCATCTAGAAAAAGTAGGTCAAGTGACCCAAGGCTGTCTGTGTCTGTGTGTCTGTCTCTCTCTCTCTCTTACACACACACACACACACACACACACACACACACACACACACACAAAGCTGCTTCTACCAACCAAACACACAGGATTATACTTGAGATTTTGTAATTCCTTTGAGATGCCTAGGAAGAGCTAGTTTCCCCTGTACTTATTTTTTTCCTCAGTCAGGCACACACCTTTAATCCCAGCGTTTGGGAGACAGAGGCAGGCAGATCTCTGAATTTAAGGCCAAACTGGTCTACAGAGTGAGTTCTAGGACAATACAGAGAAACCCTGTAAGACAGAACTAGTCATAGATTCTTTTTTATTACTTTTATTTCATATGCATTGGTGTTTTGCCTGTATTTAGGTCTGTGTGAGGGTGTCAGATCCCCTGGAACTAGAGTTACAGTTGTGAGCTGCCATGCAGGTGCTGGGAATTGAACCTGGGTCCACTGGATGAATAGCCAGTGCTCTAAACAGCTGAGCCATCTCTCCAGTCCTACTCACAGATATTTTAAGGAAAGATTATTGTGCAGAACTGGGCCTTTTGGTAAAAGAAATGAGGTCCACACATTTTCAAGTAAGGAAAGACCTTAACATTGACTTCCAATCTTTATTTCCCAACTGCCTCTCTAGAAACTAGTTTTGGTATTCTGACATGTTCATTCAACAAATGTACTCAGTTAAAGCTGTTATTTTTAGACTACTTCAGAGTACAATCACCTTATTACTTTTCATCTTTAGTCAGCAACAGTTATGTCTGAGGGGTAGGGGGAGAGCCCAAGACCAAGCCACAAAATCCCTCCAATCCCAGGCCATCCTGGAAATCACCCCCCACCCCAACCCTATAAAAAACCCAGTCATCCTCCTGGGTTTTTCCCTCCCAATACATTTCTTGTGTGAGGTTGTTGTGACATGTGACTTTCCCCTCAGAGCTGTAACACCTATAGTAAAGGGTTGATAAATGCAAAGAATTCCAGACAGGCCTTTCACGTCCCTGTCACCTTCAGAGGCCCGATCCCACTTGTGATAGCTAATCTCTACTATGAATCTGACTGGATCTGAGGAATTTTTCTTGCTCAGATTATTTGAAGCATGAAGACCCACTGTCAATGTGGGCCACACCTTCTAGCAGGAGCCCAGATAAAAGGACATGGAAAGAAACTTGCTTTTTGCCTGCTTTCCTTCATCTTGCTGGCAAGTTCATCTACTACCCTGTTGCCACAGCATTCCTTCACTGATAAAAGAACCAGTTTCTTCAAGACTCCAAGATAGACTGAAGACCAGCAGCTCTCCAGGAGTCTTCCAGGACTTCAGTGCCAGAGTGGGACTGTGGAGACTGCCAGTGACATGGACTGAACAGCTCTCAGATTCTCCACTGATTCTTTCCCAGTTTGAAACAGCCATTGTTGGACTACCTGGACCATGTAAGTCCATCTACTAAATCCCCTTTTAATATATCCATTCCATCAGTTCTGTTCTTTTAGAACTCCAATACATTAGCCCAGGATAGAACAAAGTTGTTAGATACACTAAGCTTTCCTGAGCTCTAAAAAGAAAAAGCTGCCCCTAAATGCTTATAATCCTCCTTTTTTTTAAAGACAGGGAATACTTTATTTAAAACCCATCAGTGAAATGAACAGTTTGGGTCTATGACAAATCATTCATGTTTAAAGCATAAGTCAGGAACTGTATGAAAGCACACATTGCCACAGAGAAATTAACTGATCAGACCACAACTTTTTATGGATCAGAATAAACTTCCCTGTAAAAGCAGCACCTTTGTACATTTAATATTCCTACCCTTAAACAGAATCCACACTAACTTCCTCATAATCCTTCTCTAGGGCAGCCATGTCCTCATGGGCCTCAGAGAACTCTCCCTCCTCCATGCCCTCACCCACATACCAGTGCACAAAGGCATGCTTGACATACATCAGATCAAACTTGTGATCTAGGCGTGCCTAGATCTCAGCAATGGCTGTGGTGTTGCTCAGCATATACACAGCTCTCTGGACCTTAGCCAGATCTCTACCAGGTACCACAGTGGGAGGGTGGTAATTAATGCCACAAACTGGATGCTACACTTGGTCTTGATGATGACAATGACAGCAATGACATCTTTGGGAACCATATTACCACAGTACAGCAGGCAGAAAGCCATGTATTTACCATAGTAAGGGTCACATTTCACCATCTGGTGGCTGGCTCAAAGCAGGCACTAGTGATCTCTGCTACAGAAAGCTGTTCATGGTAGGCTTTCTCAACAGAGATGATAGAGGAGTATATGGTCAGAGGGAAGTGGATTCTAGGGTAGGGCATCAGATTATTATGGAATTCTGTCATGTCAACATTCAGAGCCCCATCAAGTTGGAGGGAAATGATAGAAGACAATGTGTGATCTATCAACTTATTTAGATTAGCGTAGGTTGGGTGCTCAGTGTCAAGGCGTCTATGACAGATGTCATAAATGGCCTCATTGTCTACCATGAAGGCACAATCAGAGTGCTCCAGGGTGGTGTGGATGGTGAGGATGGAATTGCAGGGCTCAATTACAGCAGTGAAGACTTAGGGAGCTGGGTAAATAGAGAAGCTCCAGCTTGGACTTCTTCCCATGATCAACAGTCACTCCTTCAGCAGGGAGGTGAACCCGGAGCCAGTTCCCCCACCAAAGTTGTGGAAAACCAAGCCCTGAAGACCTGTGCACTGGTCAGATAGTGTGCGAATTCTGTCTAAGACAAGGTCAATGATCTCCTTGCCAATGGTGTAGTGGCCAAAGGCATAGCTATTGGCAGCATCTTCCTTGCTTATGATGAGCTGCTCAGGGTGGAAGAGATGGTGGTAGGAACCAGTGTGAACTCTTTCAATAACTGTGGGTTCCAGGTTTACAAACACTGCCCAGGGCACATGCTTGCCAGCGCCTGTCTCACTGAAGAAGTCAGTGAAGGAGTCATCTCTTCCCTCAATGGTCTTGTCACTTGGCATCTGGCCATCAGGCTTAGATGCCATGGTCCAGGAGCTCCCAGCAGGCACTGCCAATCTAGACACCAGCCTGGCCAGTGTGGATGGAGATGCACTCACACATGGCTGCTGCTCTGCGGCTCAAATGGATGACAGAGGTGAGCAAGAGGTATTGCTTAGAGCACAACTCTTAAGTAGTGATGTAAGAGAATCTGCTGTTTATCGTCCTCTTGCATAGGGAAAGCAGATAACCTGTTAGCATGGCTGTTAAAGGTAGCCCATTCTCACATGCAAGCCTGCCTCAGGAGTGTGTTTATGCTCAGTCCACCCCATTCAGGATCATTCCACCCACACCTCTGTCGTTAGATCCAGATATATCTGCTGCTTTCCTATTTCTGCTTCTTGGCAACTACACTAAACTTGAGTATTTTTTCCTCTTGTTGAGATATTTTTCTACAGGGTTTCATAAAGCTGAGACTGTCCTCAACCACAGTATGGAGCAGAGGCTGGCAATGAATTCCTGATCCACTTGCCTCTACTACTCAGGTACTGGAATTATAGGTGTGCAATGCCCAGTTCAGCCTAACTTGTGCTTTTATTATTATTATTGCTGTTATTATTATTTACTCATGCTGTGGGGCGGGGGGGGTTGCAAATATGCGATGGTACTTCTGAATAAGTCAGAGGACAAAATGTGGGAGTCTGTTCTCTCCTTCCACAATGTGAGGCACAGGGATCGAGCTTAGATCATTAGGCTGCACCATCTCTAACCTGAACGTTTTATTCTCTGGTCTGTTCTTCATGCAAAGGAGAAACCCGACTTCTTTTGCAGGCTTCCGACTGGTCATTTGGCTATCCAAACCCCATTTATATTACTGTTGTTGTAAAGGTCACAATTCTGTCTTGGGAGCTGCAGATCTTCCTTTTAGTGTTTTCCAGCCATCCTTACCTTAAACATTGACACTCCCACAGATAAAACCTGAGAAATATAAAAATGATATTATGCTACGATTTTGGTAACTACAGAGACCATATATTCTCTCTCATAACTGGATCCTAGCTTCTAATTTTAGTGTGGGCATTTATGTTGGAGTACATGTAAACTAGAAAGAGACCCATGAGAGGGGAAGATAAACCTTAAAGGGTATGGGGCACACTAGAACAGCTAACACAAAAGTAGAAGGGTGAATTACTGGAGGTAGAAACATTTCATTGGAAAGGAGAGCAGGGAGATGGGAGAGAAGTGGAAGAGGGTCAAGCAAAACTAAGCATGCATGGAAAAGCCGTAAAGAAACATAATAGTCAGTAAGCTAATTTTAAAATAAAATTAAGAAATGGGGTGGGGCTGGAGAGATGGCTCAGCAGTTAAGAGCTTGCTGTACAACATGGGGACCTGAGTTTGGATCGCTGCATCCGTAACCAGACATAGTCCCTGTTTGCCTATAATCCCAGCACTGAAGGTAGGTAGAGACAGGAGGATCACAGGAGCTTGGTGGCTGCTATAGCTTAGCCCCAAAGCGCAAATTCTAGGTTCAGCAAGACTCTGCCTCAAAGACAGTAAGGTAGAGATATAGAAGGGTATCCAATACCCTCCCCTGGCCTCCACACACCCCTCCACCAACATATGCAAATTTGAAAGAGTTTAAATAGCACTACCCTATGTGGATAAATAATGCTTCTCCCAGAACCCATAGGTTGTTGAGTGAAAATCCCAATGCCCAGAGGTTAGCTATCTACCTATAGCCAAGAAGGCTTCAGGGCCCCCAAAATAATGCAAGTAATTAACACTGCTGTTGACAATGCAACAGAACTAGATGGTAAGACCTACTGCTGAAGATATCGCATGTTGTGGTTACAGGATAAACAATTCAAGCTGTAACTGGAAAAGATGGTTCATCCAGTCTGGCTAGCCCTCACAGTAACAGAAGGGGGCATGCAGGCTGCTGAGAGAAAATGGTCAACATCCCTACTCAGCTGTGGACCATGCATGCTATACTACTGCCTGGCCAGGCAAGATTACCCACTGCTGCAATGGTGGCAGGTTTGTTCTGGGGGCAACAAACTGCTTTCTGGTTGAAACTGAGGCCTTCTACACAGAGGAAATTCACCTTTGGTACTGTAAAGTTAGTAGAAGGCTCATGGCTGGGAAGGTCATAGGCCTAATGGGGAAGCTACTATGTTTTTGGTTTCTGTTGCAGCTGCTGGAAGTGGTGGTGGCACCCCCCCACACACACCCCCTGGCCGGGCTAAGTGGATGTGATGTTCTTGTCAAACTGGCTTCTAAATAACTGTGCCCACAGACTAGCGCTGCTGTCAGCTCTGGTCAGAGAAGCTTCTTTTACGGTAGGCAGCAGTTATTGTAGAGACTCGTAACTGTTCAAAGTGCTGAAAGTAAGTGACTGGTGTGCTCAGCCACGCCTGGGACATCTACCTCACTCCCTCCAGCCATCAGGACATTACTGAAAAGAGGGCAAATAGATTTAACAGGCAGAGAACGGGTTAGGATGCCACAACTTCTGTATTCTGTGCTCACATCACCTCTGACTACCTGCATGAGACTGGGCACATCCTGTCATGGTTTGGAAGGCACTCAGAGGCTCCACCTAACAGGTGGAGACACTCAGGGTCTAAAGGCAGTTAATGTTGCTGAGACAGAGAGAGAGATTTTCTTCAGTGGTATAGCCACTGGTAAAGTGGCTATGCTCCAGTAAATAACTTCTCATCCATGTTCCTGTAAGCAAATCTAATAAAACTCATCAGGTCTTCACCAGACTTAAAAATAAGCCCACAGATACTTTCTCAACTCTACAAATAAATGCTGTGAAATGTGCTGCATGGCTCAACTATGTATGACTTAAACTCCAAATCACTTCCATTTAAAAGAAAACTAAAAGTCATATTCTGGGTGACTCATTAGGAGCAGGTCAACATCATGAGTCAAGATGTTTCAAGAAGTTTGAGAATTTTAATATAGCTATCAATTCCTAAGTAAATACTTTTTTATTTCACTGGATCTGCCCCTGCCCCCTCATACTGAATGTGGGTGTGCACGGGCACACGTGTACATTGTCTAGAGGTTAAGACAACTAGAAATAAATGTCCTCTGGAATTTCTGCTAATGAAGAAAAATCAATGGCTTTCAGGAGATCAAAGAATAAGAAAAGAAGAGAAGAGGTTATTTGAGGGGCCCAAGACCAAGGTAAATGGAGGAAGCATTATTAATTTTTTTAAATCTTTAATGTGATATATTTAACCTATTAAACACCCTTTTAAGGAGTCTGGTGAACATGTGGACAAGTATATTCTTTTGTTTGCAGGGATCCAAACTGCCCTAATACTTCGTGCTAAAACTAATGTTCACTTGCTGTTTTTGTGAGGTCCTCATCAATAAATCCATGTTTTCCAAAATATTCAATTTTTTGTAATTAACACTAGTTTCAGGAAAAAAAATATTATTAGCTTTTATTCTCTGTGTGTCCCCAGTGGATGTATACAGGTTGAGTGATGGTATGCCCGTGTGCAGCTTGGACGCTAGAGGGGGAAGACATCCTGTTCTATCACGTTGCCTTATTACCCTGCTTCATGATTCACTGAATCCTGAGCTACACCGGCAGCCAGCAAGCCCCAGCAACCTGCCTGCCTCCCCAAATCCATAGGTCATAGGCACACATGGCACTTGTCCTTTACACCCTGGTTTTAACAAGACTGTTGGAGATTTGCGCTCAGGTCCTCATGATACACAGAAAGTACTCAACCACTGAGCCATCTCTCCAGCCCTCCCTAAAATTATCATCCCCTCCAACTAAATATCTCACCCGTAGCTCTCCATTATCCCAGTAACAATGCATGGTAGCTCTGATTTTTATTCCCCTAATAATATTAACCATCATTCCATGTATTTGTCATTTATTCTCTCTCTGGCTCTTTGTCTTTCTCCAAATCCTTCGCCTGTTTTTAAATTTGGCATAGATGATCTTTTAAGTTTTTTTTTATAAGTTCTGGATTCGAGTTTCTTCAGATACATAGTTCGTGAATATTTTCTCCTATTTTGTGGGTTCTGTTTCACTTTTGTGCAGGGGTGTGTGTGTATGTAAATCAGGAAACAAATTTTGAGAGTCAATTTTCTTCTACCATGTGGGATCCCTCTGGTCACAGGCTCAGCAGCAAGCACCTTACCATCTTTTTTTTTTTTTTGGAAGGTTCTACATTTTATTACTGGACAAACTACTCCCCCAACTTAAAACACGACCAAGTCTTCAGGTTAAAATGTTGAACTCCACGTGGTAGGATTGCTTGGTGACCCACAATTCAGTATAAACTGTCTTGCCATTGTGTGAATCCTTACAGACCCGGCTTTGTTCTCCTCCAGTGTCTTCTCTTGGAGTTGTACCTTATTTTGTTACCAGTTTTCATCCGAATCCACTGAGGAATAGGACGATTTTGCTTTTGTTTCTTGGCCAGGAATCGCTTGATTCTGAAAGTCTTATGAGAAGACATGGTGAGAAGCCAAGTCAGGAGCCCACCGCACGATGGAGGAGGAAAGGAGAAGAGGAGCGCATCTTACCATCTTGATGGTCTAGTTCTTCACTTTCTTGGCATTCTTTAGGTGCATTTGAAGTTCGGACCACTCCCAGTGCACCTGCTCTTCTGTTGCTGTGCTTTCAGTATCATATGTAGTAGATGACTGCATAATTCACCGCCACAAATGTTAACTGTGTTTTCATCTAAGAATTTTCTGATTTCATTTTGTGCAATGTGTGCAAGTAGACAAGTTCATTCTTTTGTTTGTGTAGAATCTTTGTGGGGAGCCAACTGAACCACAACTGCTGAGACTAATGTCCATTTCCTGTTTTTATGGGGCCCCGAATCAAAGACTTAATTCACCAAAAATGAAATGATTTCTGGGCTTTTGACTTCATTCCATGATTTATACTTATGTTTATCCCAGCAGCAAGTTTTCTTGATTATTGCTGCTTTGTACTAAAATTTGAAACCAAAAATGGTGGGTCCTCTAACTTTGTTTTTTTAACCTTTGAGAGACTATCCTGGGTCCCTTTACTTCCCATATATCAACTGGTACAAAACAGGCAGTTTATTTTTATGATACTGCACTGGTAAGTAGATCAATCACAAGAATATGCAAATTTTCAGTCCATCAACATAAAATACCCTTCCAGGTACAGTCATGTTTGAGTGAAGATGTTCTGAGAATGCACCAGGTATTTCCATCCCTATGGTAACACTGAGGTTTTTTTTTGTTATTTTTTTCTTAGTGTTTCATTACTTATGCTAAGTGGAACTATTTTGTTTTTTTGATTTTCTTTTTTTTTTATTTTTAATTTTAGTTTAGTTTAGTTTTTTTGAGACAGGGTTTCTCTGTGTAGGCCTAGCTTTCCTAGAACTATCTGGAGACCATGCTGGCCTCAAACTCAAAGATATCACCTGCCTCTGCCTCCCAAATACTGGGATTAAAGGCATGTGCCACCACTGCCCTGCCTATGGAACTGTTCTGCTAATTTCACTTTCTGATTATCCAGTATTGCTGTATACAAGTATACTTCACTCTTATACATCAACCTTGTATTCTGAAATACTGCTGAATTTGGTGTGGGTCTCAAGAAGTTTGACTCGGGCATTTCCTAAGACTTAAGGATAAAAAGAACCAAAGGTTTGGCAGCTCTAAATTCTCTGTACATTAGCTTACATGAATTACATGGTGTAGGTAACTCCTTCTCATTTCTTAGTCATTAGTATAATTGTTCTGTGTGGCAAACCATGGGCAATACATTTCCCAAACTCTGGTTAACTGGATTTGCCTAAAGCACTAATGAAACGTGAGTGCGTTAGTAACTATGCACCACCTGAGTTAGGAAGTTGCTGTTGCTGTTACGGTTTTCAGTACATGTGTGCTGCAGTTCAGGACTATGAACAATGTTCATTTGTACCTAGATTGCCAACTTGATGAATATTCTATTTAAGGCAAACTATTTTGAGGTTTGTTTTTTTTTTTTAAATCCACTGTTCCTTTATTCAGGACACCAATAAAATTGCAAAATATGTAAAATGACATAAAGAAACCAGTAAAGAACAGCATTTTGCATGCATGCAAAGATGTTATCACACTGCCAGACATTAAAGAACATTTGCTATGACTCTGGAAGCCTTCCATTTTGTTTTTGAAACATTGTAGTCCAAAGTTTCTAAACAAGATAGCATAGGCATAATATTTGGTAATTAAAAAGACTTAGCTCAATCACAGCAACACTTTTCAAAACAATCAAATACAAATGAAATGCCTTTGCACCTCAATTCTAAGGGAATTCGAACCACTATTTTAAGGTTTTATCAAACTGACACTACCATATCAAAAAAGGTTCTAATGTGCCAAACAAGGCAGTCTCACATTTTATTTTCCAGAGTAGAAATGTGAAGTTTTCTCCCTTGAAAAATCCACGTGCAATTCTATCATAATGCCTATTGATGTACACTTTGGAGAAACCCCCAAATGCAATCACAAACTGTTTTTGAAAGCTGCACAAAAGACAGCATTTGTGCTGAAGATGTCAGCTCGATGGTAGAACACTTGCTTCGGTAGCAAGGCCCTGCATTTCATCCCCAGCGACACAAAAATAAGTGAATGGAAACACACAAGACTAGAAACGTTCCTGAAGGAGTTGGCAAACAATCTTTAAAACAATAAAATAAAATAATCCTGGACCTAACAACAGAAGAATTTTAACGACCATACAATTAACAATTATAATGTAGTAGGCATGCTTTCTTCTCTCCCTGCAACAAAATGTAGCAAATACTTTTCACTCCCTCCCCAAAGTTTCTTATCACAGAGAAAAGCATATAGTATTTACCACATAGCCCCAAGAGTATGAATTCGGAGCTTTCTCCTTACAATTCAACAGTATTCCAAAGGTGTGTACTAGTAGGCTTTCAGAGGGGTATTTCTAAAAGGAATGTAGTTTTCCGAGGGCTTCAAATTTTCACTACAGCCTGCTTTCTACCACTCAGAGTGAACCGTTTGTTACAATCTGTCTAGAAGTTATTTATCTAGCAACCTATGACTTAAGACTTTTAGGATCTAGAATTTGGTCTCATTACAAACTCACTAAGCTTGTTTCTATTACAGCAGGAGTCTGCGCTTTCTCTCCCCCTCGAATCCCTTTTACAGCCTCTTCTGTGAAAGTTATTAAATACACATTGCACTTATCTATATTAAATAATAAGCTCCGTGATTTGTGTTGATGCCAGTCACAAATACTGCGACGTGTGGTTCACATTTATAATGAAGGAAATGTTAGAATTTTATAGGTTAGTTATATTAATATCCTTTCCACGCAAGTTAATGGTCCGCCGAAACTCTATGAGCCTCTATTAAACAACTCTTAATCAGTTTCTTAAAACAAAACAAAACAAAAAACCTAAAAAACAAAACCCAAGTGTTACACATCCTTATTCTGTAACATTCATACATGTAAAACAGGGTTCTGGAGTCCTTACTAAAAGTAACATTTCTTCACCCCACTGTTAATACCCAGTTTCTAGTACTTTTGATCTTTTCTGTGATTCTCTGAAGTGTTGGTCAGTTGTACTGAATCTAGAACACACAAGCGTTCATTCATATTTAAAACTATTTTTCTTCTCACCTTGGGAAACTTTCATCATAATTTGAGTATAAAACTGCCACTTCCCAATTCTCTCCACGGTTTAAAATGACTAACATCTTAGTAAGTCACAATCCGTAGTCACTACAGGACTCATTCTTCTCTACTTCCCTTCAAGCCAGCAACTTATGTCCCCGGATTTTTAAAAGGGAACAATTTAAAGGAGGCTCTTCACGGATTCTCACATTTACCACTTACGCAACCGACTCATCACCGGCCTAGCCACTCTCGCGGTCCAGCGACAAGAAGAGGGAACAAGAAAAGAGTAGGGTCCCCGGAGCTCTGAGCGGCGCCGGCCCAGCGGGCGGCGGCCGAGGAGCACACGCGGCGGAGCGGGCTCCGAGCCGTCCCGGGGGAGGGGGAGGAAGTCACCTGAAATGACCGGCCAGGGAGCAGCGGCAGCACCACACAGGCATGGAGAGCGGCAGCGGTCGTCCCGGCGCGCGCCTCGCCTGCACCGCGGCTCACCGGCGCGGGCGTCCGTCCCGGCACAGCCGTCCGTCCCGGCACAGCGCCTTCCGCTCCTCCCCGCCGCCAGCGGCAGGGCGGGCGGCGCAGCGGCTGATGAGCGCCGCGCGGGGGGCGGGACCGGGCGCCGCGACGGCGCCGCGCGGCTCCGCCCACCCGGTGCGGCGCGCGGGCGAGGCCGCCGATTGGTGGAGCCGCGGCGGGGGGCGGGCCCACGGAGGGAGACGCGCGCGGCCGCGGCGCTGCGAGCGGGTCATCACGAGGCCTACGCTCAGGGCGTGGAGTGGGCGCCCGGTACCCGCGCCCTGGGGTGGCCGAGCCGAAGAGACGGGGCTTCTCCCTCCGGCCTGCGAGTCTCCCGAAAGCCCTGGAGTCCCGCCACGAGAACCTACCTGAGCCCAGGTCCTCGCACTATCTCGGGTGCGTCCGGCCGCGGCCCCCGCATCGCGGTCACCCTGAGAGTTCCGCAAACCCCAGGTGCCCCGGCCGCATGCCTGGCGCTTCTCCTGGCCGCGTTCAGCCTCCCTTCTTAAAGAGCGCGGCCCCCACATTCCCCAGGGTGGGGAAGGCCTCAGCCCTGCAGAGACATTTGGGGAAAGGGGCAGGGCCAGAAAATGTTGTGAGTTCTTCCAGGTGTCTGCGATTCCATTGGCAGCCGGGAAAATCCTGAATAGGGAGTGCATCCTATTTGGTATTTGTCCAAAGTTAAAAGGTGGGGGTAGACACCCTAGAAACAGTTGACTACCTGCTGTTCTACACAGACAACGTTCCCCCTCCCAGTAAGTCATGATTGTTTGGGACAGTTAAAACGTGTATGTTTATGTTCTTAAAAGAAGTACTAAGTTTTATAGAATGCTGGAGTCTGGATTTTTAAGAGAATCATCCTGGCAGAGCATGGTGGCGCATGCCTTTAATCCCAGCACTGGAGAGGCAGAAGCAGGTGAATCACCATGAGTTCAAATCCAGCCTGATCTACATAGGACAGCCAGGGCTTTATGAGAGACCCTGTCTCATAAAATAAAGAAAGAACACAGCCTGCTTCCAGGATTCCATATCTAAAAGTGTATACACCGGCTTTTTAAAACTTTTTCTCCTCTTTGGAATAATACCTGTATGACCATTATTTTTTACTTTTAAAGTGTTAACGGTTGTGAAGGAGAATTTCTGGAAAGAAGCTGTGTCTGCAGAGACTGATGGATTATAACTGCAGTATACAGTGGAAAGTTTGGAATGCTACAGGTCCAGAGACGAATTACCTTATCTTGGGCTAGTTCTAGCATTGCAGAACAGCCATTACTTGGCCACCTCTATGTGTGAACTAACATCTTGTGACTAGTAGATAAAATACCTTTTGGAATCTATTAACTTAGCAGACCACTAGCTTCCGTCAACCAAAAGCTAAGAATGCAGTTAGCTAGCATCCTGAGACTATAGTAAAGCTGTCCTCGTCTTGCTACACCTGCCTCTCCGATGTACTTTAGTAAAATATATGAATGTACTTTAAACTTGCCTTGGTTTCTTCGTTCTGTAAAACCTCATAAAAACTGCTTCCACTTGGAACATGAAATTTGAGGTCATTTAAATCTGTGTTCCCAGGCAATGGTCACTCAAAATAGCTCCAGAATAATTTCTTCTTATTCCCTTTAAGAGGAAAGCTGTGTGGGTTTTTTTGTTTTTTGTTTGTTTTGTTTTTTGTTTGTTTGATTTTTGCATCAGCGATGTGGCACATAATTTTATGTTTCTTCTAATATTCATACTGTTGTCCTTTTATACATTTTTTTCCTTTATGGCTTCGTTTTACATTGTAGGGCTTTTCAATAGTTGCAGAAAAAATAAAGTGGGTACATCAGATTTCAAGTGTGCTTTGGTTTGTATTTAATGTTTTTTTAACAAATATTTTTAAATCACTGGTGTACAGGGGTGTGTGGGGCAGGAATGAATACATGAGTGCAAGTGTCTACAGAAACTGTAAGCCAGTGTGGGACTCTCCTGGAGCTCAAGGTATTGGCACTTGGGAGTTGCCCAATTGGTGCTGGGAGCCCACCTCTGGCCCCAATGTTAAATGGTTGAGCTATCACTCCAGCCCCTAACATTTTGAATGTGTCAGAGCTGTGAGAAAACAAATTCCTAGTGTTTAAACCTTCTAATCTGTGGTATTATAGTATGGCAGCCAGAACCAAGATAGTATGATTTTGCATTTTCTACAAACAAGTTTTTAATCACTCAAAACAAACAGTTGCATTGTGTGTACTCTGGGCAAACCTGGCAATAGGCCGTGTCAGAAAAGCCAGTAACTCAAAGTTCCAGGAAAGATTCTAGAAAGTATTCTTTTATTAACTTGGAGCTGAGATGCATTCAAATTAGTTACCATCGAGACCATTGATCCTTGCTGGTTCCATAAGCAGCTGTGCCTACTCTGGAATTGTCATCAGCTCGGTTTTCTACCCTAGGTAGGAAGTGTTAGGAATACTTTAGTGATGGCATACAAAACCGGGGATTGAAGCTGTGTTGAAGATGTGAGGTTTGACCCTGCAGTTTGATTTCCAGGGACAGAAGTCTAACAAAAAGGCTTCACACTTAAATAAACCCTTTTAAAGTTTCTGTTCAGCTGCAGAGAACTTACAGAAAAAAAATGAAAATAATTTCATACATTATATTTCATACAGGTTACTTTAGAGAATCATAAGAGAGCAGAAGAAGCCTAATGTGGGTAGGATCCCAAGTTACACTGTAAGATCCTGTCACTGTGAAGGAAAAGCCGTGTGCCCAGTCAGACAGCTGCAGCTGCAGACTGTCGGCAACCATGCCTGACATGCGTTATTTTAATGTGCTTTCTTTTTCCTTTCTCTGCTCCAAAGTTAGTTTAGGAGGCCAGAACTTTGTTTTTTTTTTGTTCACTGTTGTATAGCAGAGCCTGGCTTGTGGTCGAACACAGATAACACCCAAGTAAACTCAGCAGGGCTGAGGTTGGATGTGTTTTGAACTAAATGGAAGGGATGATCTTAAGTTAGGGGATACTTACATGTTTTACAGCTTGTAAGCTCAATGTATAGGCACTGTTTGCATTACTATACAATGAGCAAAAACAAAAATTGAGACACTTCATGCAACAAAAGGTAACTGGTTTATATATTTTTCAGAAAGTGAGGGTAGAAGATGTTGGGTGAAATGCACAGTAAGAAAATGTTTAAAAAATAAGAAGCAGGGGTGGTGGCTCATGCCTTTTTCTCCAGCACTTGGGAGGCAGAGGCAGGTAGATCTCTGAGTTTGATGTCAGCATGGTCCATAGACAGTTCTAGTACAGCCAGTGCTTCCTATGGCAAGACCTCGTCTTAAAAACAACAACAATGGATGAGATCTACATGAACAACCTGGATGTGAGTGGGGGTAATGAAGGGCAAGGTCGAGGGAAAGAGAGCTTAGGGGAGCGGGAGATCCCAGCTGGATCAAGAACAGAGAGGGAGAACAAGGAAAAAAGAGACCATAATAAATGAAGACCACATGAGAATAGGAAGAAGCAAAGTGCTAGAGACGCCCACAGAAATCCACAAAGATACCCACACAACAGACTGCTGGCAATGGTCGAGAGACAGCCCGATCTGACCTACTCTGGTGATGGGATGGCCAAATACCCTAATTGTCATGCTAGAAACGCCATCCAATGACTGAGGGAACCAAATGCAGAGATCCACGGCCAGGCTCCAGGTGGAGCTCCAAGAGTCCAATTGGCGAGAAAGAGGAGGGTTTGTATGAGCGAGAATTGTTGAGACCGAGGTTGGAAAAAGCACAGGGACAAATAGCCAAACGAATGGAAACGCATGAACTATGAACCAATAGCTGAGGAGCCCCCAATTGGATCAGGCTCTCTGGATAAGTGAGACAGTTAATTGGCTTGATCTGTTTGGGAGGCATCCAGGCAGTGGGACCTGGACCTGTCCTCAGTGCATGAGCTGGCTGTATGGAACCTGGGGCTTATACAGGGACACTTGGCTCATCCTGGGAGGAGGGGACTGGACCTGCCTGGACTGAATCTACCAGGTTGAACTCAATCCCCAAGGGAGTCTTTGCCCTGGAGGAGATGGGAATTCGGGGAGAGCTGGGGGGAAGGCGGGGGTGGGGTGTGGGGAGGAGAACAAGGGAATTCGTGGCTGATATGTAAAATTAAATTATAAAAATAAAGTAAAAATAAAATTAAAAAAACAACAAAAAAGAAAAAGAAGATAGAGTCTGCACATGCACATAACCTACCCCTACTGCATACTGACCAGAAAACACATGCTTGAAGGTATACTGTGGGATTTAAGAAGAGCAGAATAAGCAAGAGTCTCAAAGCTTTACAAAGGAGTGAAAATCAGACTAACAGAAGACTTGTTGTCAACAGGACAGAATCTTAAAAGATAAACCTTTGAAAGTTCCGGGTAATGGCTTCAAGCTTGGAGGTCTCCTATCTAGATTAAAAGACTACAAGGATGCAAGAAATTGCCTGTAATACAAAGGCATTCCTAGATATGATAGTATCCTGGAAATATTTGAAGAACCTGTCCTGATAAGGCTGCCATAAAAGTAGACTTTAAAGACAAAAGTAAAACTGCTATTTAAACTCCAATTGGGAGGCTCTGTGACAAAAATGTCTGGTAAGGGCATAGTGCTGCAGAATGAAACTTGCTGGACAGTGTTTACATGGAGACAAAGTTAACAGTCACCTGCGGGGTTGAAGAAAGAAGGCACTCCGAGATGAAATTTTAAGACCTATATGGCAGCAGGAAGGTCCAGGCTCTGATGAACTGAACCTTGAACAGCCATACAAAGGTATGTATATTGAAAGTTACACAAAGTATTTCCTTATAACAAGGTCCCTAATCTTAATTTACATGTCTTACTAAAGGAGAGCATCACATGCCCCCATGACTCTAGTCCTTTATTATTTATTATGTGCAATACACAATAATAAAAGAGCCTCAGGTGTGCCTGAGGCCTCTTGTGACCAAAGTCATGGGATGGCTGCAAAGCCCCTACAGCAAAACAATCACTGTTTTCCATAAGGATTCTTCAAGGTCAAAGTACTTCTAAAAAACAGCTGTTCCTTCTAATATCTACCCCATACAGTGATTCTGATAAATTCCTATAACATTCACCCATTTTCAGATTTATAGTCCTATAAACTAAATAGGAAGCTCTTCATTATCCTCACCAAACTGGTTGCAAATGTTAGACACTATAATATAAAAAAACATGGGAGGTTAAGAGTTTGTGGACCACAATTGTCTTGTGAAGCGATGATATACTGCCTATAGTTCAAATAAATATGAATTGTAATATAGATTTAAAATCACAAATGTAATCAGTGGGAAAACTAACAGTAGGGATATAATTACGTGTTCTGGGTAGAGAAATTTTGGGGTAGTTTAATGTGTTAAATCTGTGTCATGAGGTTTAGGCATGATCTAACAATAATCAAGAATTAACATCATAAGCATTATTTCCTACATGTATGAGGGTATTAAACAGAGTGGTTGTCCCTAGGTAATGAGATTGGAAGGGCTGGAGAAGGATGAGTTGAAGACCTCTTCATTGTTTTTGCATTCTGCCCACTTTATCCATGTTACATATTTATGCCAGGCACACATATATGAAATGGACTTTTCTGAGGTTTGAGACAATATTTTTCTATCATAACAATACCAAAATGTGTGATTGAATATTGAACAGCTTTGTTGGGCAACTGATGCCAACCAGCTGCTGCCCCTTTTCTCCATTCTTCTCACATCCTCACTCTCTTACACAACAATTTCTGTTCCACGTGGTGCTGTGTGTTGGTGACAGGAGCTCACAAAGGGGCAGAAAGAGAAACAATCTGTCCTACTTTTCCACTCTAGTGGGATAGAGTTCCCAGTATTTCTGCAGGTAGGATTTGTGGTTTTGGAGCTCTGGATAGATAGCGTGGAAAGAGTTGTTCTGATGAGAAGTGAGCAGTTATTGGGTGCAGGGATGTGTGGAAACAGTCTTGCACTTTGAGCAGAGTAGTGTTTCTTAACCATGGCTGCATATTAGAACGCCGAGGAGCTTCTAAAACATACTCTGTGCTTGAGCATTAGCACTTCCCCTCCACTGCCAATTAAGTTGAGAAGATTCCATGCAAAGGACCTAAGGCCCATCATTCAAATCCTACAATTCCTAAACAACCAATGAATTGAAAAACTGTCCAACTGGCCCCCTATCTTTGGAGGAAGGAGGGAGTTCTTCTAAGCTGTCCTGATGAGCCTGAAAATCACTGTGTTAGCCAGGCTGGCCTCAAATTTACAGCAGTCCTCCATCCTCTGCCTCCTGAGCACTGCAATTACAGGAACGAGCCATCATTCCCATCTCAACTTCCCTTCTTTCAAACATTTTCCTTCTGATATTTGTAATTGAGTTCAAAATCTGAAAAAGAACTATACTCTTTTCTTTTTTTTCCCAAGACTTGTCTTTTTGCTGTCATTTTGGTTTGTTGTTTTTTTGAGACAGGGTTTTATGTATCCTAGGTTGGCCCTGAACTCACCAAACTTACTATATAACTAAAGAAGGTGTTAAACCTCTGATCTTCTGCCTCCACCGGCCCAGTGCTGGGATTATACACATGTGCCAGCACTCCTGATTTACACAGTGTTGGTGACCCAGCCCAGAGCATCGTACATGCTAGGCAAGCACTCTACCAACTGAACTATATGCCCAGCCCCTGTGCACATGTTTTGTAGCTTTTCATAGTATGGAATAAATAGAAAATGTGTGCTTTTGTTTTATTGACAAAGTTAATTCTGTTTAAAATCCCTCCTCCCAGCATGCCTT